CCAATCCTCTGCATCTCGATTTATATATGTATTAACAAACTAAGCTCACAAAAAATTTAAATCGATCTGAAATATGATGGGGTTTTTGGTCATTAGCTATTGGTCTATGACGAACACAGTCGCAGATGCAATGAGGTGGTGCAGGAGTACAGGAGGTACCTTACTTCGAGACCAACAAAGAAGCCCGAGGCCGTAAAACGAATTAGATCTAAGGAAGACGACGCGAAAAGCACGTTGGCGAAACGACGGTACTGTGAGGTGGCCAGGTCGCACCTCTGGAGAAAGCCACTGGAGAGGGAAAAGATAAAATTTGCTATCTTCAGCTTCTCAGCCTTTAAATTACCGGGTATGGACGGAATATTACCAATCATGCCTCTGGAAGCTTCGGATATGGTTATTCCAATCCTGGAAGCAATTTACACAGTGTGCCTACTACTTAACAACGTTCCGTTAAGCTGGAGGAAGATTAAAGTAACTTTTATTCCTGAAGCAGGAAAACGTGGTCATGACAATGCTAAAGATTTCGAACCAATAAGCCTTGGACTCAAGACGTTTCAGAGGCTGTTGGATCTGTACATTAGGGACAAAACTTCTAATTTATCATGCTCTCAACATGCGTAACTGAAAGACACGTCAACGGAGACATAGATTTCTGGGCCATAAATTGTCATGGTCTGGTGGTCAGTCCTTACTAAGGATTACATAACTAAGTGGAATTCAGAGGCCAGCGGCTGCTTGCGGAAAAGGTGCAATGAGATCCTGTCCGAAGGATGTTTTGAACGTCCTCCTTAATTTATTATCGATAGATATCTTTATCGAAAACACAGCTACTAACAGCGCCATCAGACTGCGTGTCTTGATGTTATCCTTTCGCCTACCAGACTATGCAAGCGATTTCCAAGCCGAAATGTTTGCAATTTGGGAGGCAGTAAGGTACATCAAGGAGAATGTACCCGCGAGAACGCAAGTAAATATAATCCCGAATAGCCTGTAGGAGAGAGCTGGCCTATATTTCTGATCAATATGAAATTATCCCGGGGCATAGGGACATTTACGTGAACCGAGCAGCGGACGAACTAGCAAGGCGCGGCTCCGCACTGAATGTGTCCCACGCGGTGAGCATGGGGGCCTCGCTCAGGGAGATAAAAGAAAAAATTACCGAAATTTATCACACGAAGACCCAGCACGTCTGTCAAGTTAGCCCTGCACTTTTCGAAATTTTAAAAGTTAACTATGGCATTAATTGTAGCTTTTTTGTTGTAAATTTGTCGTGGAAAGAAAAATGTGTAGCTCTCATTTAAAACCAAAAAATTTGGTACGTAGTGCTAACTTGACACCATATACCTAGTCGATAGAATTGAGATATTAAAAATGTTATAATAATAATAATAGATTGGCGCTTACACATATGTTAGTGTTTGGCCGAGCTTCTCCTCCGATTTGTGGCGTGCGCCTTGATGTTGTCACAAAAAAGGGAGGGAACTACAGCGATCTAACATCGTTTAGGTCGGCGAAGTATTTCAGACATTGTTCGTCCAAAGGGCTACATTTGCTACGCATTCTTTTGCTCAGGGCTGGCGTCTAGTCAAATCCAGGGCCAGAAACCTGCACCTGCTGTGTATGCCAGAGACGACTACACCACAACTCCACCTCAGTCAAGTGCAATGCTTGCGACGGGTGGAGTCACCTCAGAGTCTGCTCAGGACTACGGAACCATCGGCAGTGGACCACATCATTTGTGGCCACCTGCTGCTCAAACAGAGCAGCCTCCACGACTAACCCCAGTCCACCTAAGCTGCTCAGCACAAACACCACAGCACCACAACACAGCAACACAATAGACCACACCACAACCACGATAGACCACACAACTGACACAACCGCACCGTCACCCACACGCCGCCGCCAACAACTCTTGGTTCCTCCTACAATCTGCACGGTATGTCAGACCAGGATATTCCGTAACGTGACATCAGTCAAGTGCAACACCTGCCTTGGCTGGTGCCACATTAGGGCATGTTCAGGTCTGCGCACCACGCGAGATTGGACGAGGAACTTCGAGGGCCCGTGTTGCGCCACTCTTTCGCAAACCCCTACTGCGACGCCACCCACTACCACCACAGGGCGGCAACCTCCACAGCAGCGCACACAGCCAATGCCGGCAAGGCCACAAACATCCCTCACTCCGGCCATTACCACACGTCTCCCGAACCACATGAAGCTCCTTCAATTTAAATGTAACGGTCTTCAGATCAAGATCGAGGAGATAACCGTCTTCATGTGTCGGCATGGTATATTAATAGCTGCGGTCCAAGAGACGAAGTTGCACAGCAATTCAACATTGTTGAATTGTGCCGGGTACAACATGCACCATCGAGATCGCGAGCGAGATAATGGTGGTGGCTTAGCGTTCATCACGCACCACACCGTGCAGTATCGTCTTATTGAAGCAGACATCGACCGCAGAGATACCACCCTAGAACGTCAGGGCATTGCTATCCGGTCAGGCGATGTTGAGCTCGAAATATTCAACGCATACATACCCCCTGTCACCTGCTGCCCGGCAGGATCACCCTGATATAGCTGCGCTCCTCAGAGGTGAAAACCGTATGGTATGACTTTAGCGCGCACCACTATCTTTGGCACTCAAGCCTGTCAAACGATCGGAGGGGAACAGACTTGGCTGAGCAGATAGATGATTCGACAATCTGCACAATGAACGACGACGCACCCACCAGGATTATGGGTAACTGCAGTAGNGGCAGCTGCTGCAGCTCGCTAGACATAACAATAGTCAGCGCTGGTCTGATAAACAGCGTATGATGGCGACCTATGCTGACTGTGACATCAGACCATCTGCCATAGTCATCTCGATCGATAAACCAATCGACCTTGCTTCCGCGGAACACCTATATCAACTTTTCTAAAGCTGATTGGAAACGCTTCGCGGAATTTACTGAGAGCACCTTCGCTGCACTCCCCACACCAACTAACGTCCACCTTGGTGAACGTAAGTTCCGCATGGTTGTCACTGCTGTTGCAGCTCGCTTCGTACCGGCAGAATGCATTACCACCCCCGTCCAAACTTCTCTACTGAAGCGGCTGTTCTAGCCGATGAGCGTGACAACCTTCGTCAGGCCGACCCCGGAAATCCCCGTATTAGGGATCTCAACGCGGAGATTCGGCAGTTTGTGAACGTACATAGGCGGAAAGAGTGGGAAGAGCATCTGAAGACTTGCAACTTCACCTCTGGTGTGAGTAAGCTTTGGTCAACCATGAGGTCACTGTCCAATCCGACGAAGCACGACGACAGGGTCGAAATTTCTTTCGGCGACCATGCTTCTTCGGACCCGGAGCGAGGCGCAAGCTATTTTAGCCGGCAGTTCATACTGCATCCTCCGGCGAACAAAGTCAAGCATCGAGTGACCAGAAGGCTGCACAAACTGCCAACAACTTGTGCCCCCTTGCTTTCGCTAACGGTGAAGTACAGGTGACCATCGGGAAGGCAAAAGCCTCCAAAGCCATGGGTCCCGACGGAATATGCGTGCTGATGCTGAAAAATTTGGGTCCCGCGGGAGCAGCGTACCTAACGGAGGTCCTCAATTTGTCAATGGCCACTCTCATCATCCCAGACATCTGGAAGGTTTAGAGAGTGTTCCCACTGCTCAAACCGGGGAAACCTGAAAACAAAGGAGAATGGTATTGGCCGATAACACTTCTTTCCCCGGTAGCGAAGACATTAGAGGCCCTGCTGCTCCCATATTTCACGAACCACCTGACCCCAGCGAAGCATCAGCATGGTTTCCGTAAAGTGCACAGTACAACAACAGCACTTAACGCCATAAACACTCAGATAACTCTCCCACAGAGGCTCAAACGGTGGTCGGCAAATTATCTGAGTGGTCGACACTCGTCGGTAATATTTAGAGAGAAATCGAGCAAACTCAGCGAAATAAAACAGGGGGTTTCCGCAGGGTGGTGTCCTTTCCCCGCTACTGTTTAACTTTTACATTTCACAGCTCCCTCAACCGCCAGAGGGAGTCTCGATTGTCTCTTACGACGACGATTGCTCGATCATGGCGACTGGGAATGGAATTGATGACTTGTGTTCGAAAGTAAACGGGTATCTCTCCGAGCTTTTTCGCTTCTTCACTGCAAGGAGCCTAACCCTCCCCCTACAAAATACTCTGCGACCTTGTTCACCACCTGGACGAAGGAGGTCAGGCTATCGCTGGGAATTCACGTCGATGATACACCAATTCCGACGGTGAATAGCCCCAAAATACTCGGAATAACCTTCGACAGTCTGTTCGTCAGCGACTGGATGCCTTCTGATGTCGCCTGAACACCACCTACACTAATGCCGTTATAAAATTTTCAATATCTAAATTCTCTCGAGCTACAATTAATGCCGATAGAACATTTTCAATATCTCAATTCTATCGACTAGGTGTATGGTGTTAACTTTTTCAATTTCGAAAAGTGTAGTGCTCACTTGACAGGCGTAGCCCGCGCAGAGGTTGAACCGTACAGGATCGTATAGGCTTACCCGGCAGTTCTTGGTGTCCTACGAGCCACTTAATACCAAAACTCTCTTAGGAATGTGCAAAAAAGATGCCTACAAAAGTACTGCAGTGTGCGCAGGGCAGTGGCCCGTTGAGGGTACATGCTGAAAGGATTGGATTGCCCTTCAAGAGGTTCTGGCGCAATTGCGATGACCTTGGCTTAAAAGAGACAGTCGAACACTTCCTGTGCGAGTGTCCAACCCTCGCTAAAGACACTCGGCGAACCATTCCTTCAGAATATTTCAGAGTGTAGCTGCCTGCCTCTGTATGACGTACTAAAATCCACTAAAGCCGCCAAATGGCGATAGGTTGCACGAATTGTGGAATCCAAATGGCAAACTTGCTAATTGCTTGTCACCAGGGTGGTAATCCACTTAAACAAACCAACCAGCCAATCTCTTAAATTGCATTTTCCTGATTTTTACTAAATTTTACCGGTATTAGAAGCGAAGGTTTTAGTCCAAACGTTCTTTCCTGTTGATCATACAGATCGCATCTATTGTATATGTGAAGTTCAAAGCCATTTAATTGCACAGAAAGACGTGTATCGGAGTGCGAGAGATCTAAAATTCAAAAAAAATTTAGTTATATTATGTAATTATTACAAAATAAAGATTTTACCCTCGGAAACATCCTTTGGAACATACGATCGCCACCAACGAAATATGAAATAACCATCCTGCACACGAACTGAATAATCAAATGTAATGTAGACGAAATCACGAAACATAATTTTACCCGCCAAAGGATTCAATGCTACAGAACCTACGAAATATTAGTTTGTTTCTTATCTGTTTAGAGTGCTTTTAATTGTATAAGTACGCTTACCAATTTTAAAATATGCGCCTTTTATAAACCACCGATTGACCATTTTTGTTATAAAAAGTCCAACTAGACGCGAATTGTAGAAAGTTATGTATGTTACCCAGGTTATAGACGTCAGTAAAGAACAAAGCAGCCATATCTACGGAGCATATTAAAAATTATCGATAATTAATTTTTTTTTACAATTAAATTGTCATATCTAAAATAATTTCGTAAATCCAATGTCACGGCGCGTTTGGATAAAGGTGCTGGCCCAATGCAGGCTTGCTTTGCTTGCTTCGCTGCGAGAAGTGTCAAAAATTATTTGGAATATACTAAAACGTATAAAGGCTGGCCAAATGGCAGCTTTTCTTCACTTGCTTTAAGCGCCTCAAAGTTTGAATTAGGCAAATGTTTTATTTGAAAGCGTTTTGTAGGCTTTTGACAAAGTGGTATGTTCCTTTCAAAATACATAAATTCAAACAAAAATTTGCTTGCTTAATTTTAAAAAGTCACAGAAAATGCAGGTAATTCGAAATGAAATAAAAATGATGCATTGTTTCCATATTTATATTTAATATATCGTTATCTTATAGTAAAAAGTTGCAAAGCCCACTTTTACAAATTTTACACGAGAGGAAAAAACTTCTTCTTCAAGTAAATCGCTTTTTTAAGTTAGTTTTTTTAGTAAATGTAGATATAGATATGTATGTATCATTATTATCATTTCTTTTAAATACAAACACTACTTCGCATTAATTTAAAAATAAATCTGAAAGTGTTTCATACATTTTTTAGAGTTAGGAAATAATTATTAACGTTAAGGGAACAGACATTGACTTTTCAACCAGACAGCTGGTTACTTTGACAGCGTTCCAAGCCACCATTCGGCCAAGCAAGTTTTCAAAGTAAATCAAAGCAAATTGAAGTCAGCAAGGCGCGCAAAGCAAGCCTGCATTGGGCCAGCGCCTTAAGATTTAACCCAAAAAGCTTTTGCTGTAATCATAATCATTCTTTATTCTTTATTGTTTATTTAAAATTAGTACAATAAGACTTGGTCTTTTGAAGTACAACAGCAATATATGTAACTAAACAGATTTAGAGGTAATATTAATACTATTAATACAGGAAATAAAACAAAAGATGTTCAAACTAAAAATTATGGACTAGATAAAAACTTAAATATTAAGAAGGTTCATCAACTAGACGAGAAATATATATGGAGGGAACTTTTAAAGTTGCTTTTGTTGAGTTTGGTTTTAACGGAATGAGGAATAGAATTCCAAAAACGAATAGCGTTAATGAAAAACAGTCTGGCAGAGTTTTTAAAGTTGTATGAGGGCAGAATTAAGTCAGAAGAACGTTCCGACTTTGGAAAAATAAGTTTGTCATACAGATAACGTGGTGTTCTCATATGTATAAGTTTATAGAGGAAAATGCAGTTCCTGGCTTTAAGGTAGTCTGAGATGTCACCTCCCAACAAAGAAGACTTCCAAGCGGATATATGGTCAAATTTCTATAGTCCATACACATACCGGGTAACATAATTAAATAGAATGTCAATTTTGTGAGCAGAATTAGAGTCAAGCTTACTATATACCAACTCAGAGTATGTAATTGATCATTGAGTTAAAAATAGAAATATTCTATGGAGGGATTCAAAATATACGTCACCAGAATATCTTTAATATTTCGTACGATAACTTTTCTAACTGAGTTTAAAGCCATCCTATTTGGCAATAAAGGTAGAAACTAAAATCTTTGCACTTTAGCTTTGTAAGCATACAAAAAAATAAAAAAATATATACATTAGACTGCATCGCCAAAAAAAGTTGCGATTTTTCCGCCGGGAGTACAAAATGTATTATATTTTAAGACGTCCACCAAAATATTTCGGAAAAATATTAAGATCTAAGCGAGCTGAACCGATTTGAAAATACCTCCAAATGGAGTTTTTTATAAATAAAAATAGTTTTTTAAAGACCTTTTTGAAAAAAGTCCTCTCAGATGACATAACAGATTGGCCTATAAAATCTGCATAAAAATATTTTAAAATCTTTTCAACGGAATCGTAATAATGAGATTTTTGGTGTTGTTTTTTTACTTTTTTCAAAGATTGATTTACGAAAAACTTAAATAACTGGGCCACAACTATTCTGATTTAGACTTATGTAATCTCGGTAGAAAGGTATTTTCCCACTATTTTTATTTATGTGCAAAAAAGTAATTGGTGTCCCAATTTATTTTTTTTTTTCAAATACTTTGAATGATGTTCGTTCATCCTACCTTTCTCTTTCATCCTTTGAATGAGCTAATTAGCAAAGAAATAAAAAGGGTAAGAAAATACCTTTCCAATGATACCTCACAAGTCTAAATCGGAAGAGTTTAGGTTCAGTTATTCAAGTTTTCCTTATACCAATCTTTGAAAAAAGTTAAAAAAAACAGCATCAAAAATCTCATTATTACGATTCCGTTCAAAATTTATTTATATATTTTTTGAATATTTTTATGTAAATTTTTTAAGTTTAAACCGTTTTGTTATTTGAGGGGATTTTTTCAAAAAACATCTTTAAGAAACTATTTTTATTCATAAAAGACTCCATTTTTGGAGATATTTTCAAATCAGTCAAGCTCGCTTAAATCTTAATATTTATCCGAAATATTTTGGTGGACGTCTTAAAATAAAATAAATTTTATAATTCCAATGGAAAAACAGTACCGATTTTTTTCGTATGGGGGAGTGATGTAGTCGAATATACATACATACATAACAAGAAAATATTTTCTGGACTAATGGGTTCAAGTTTCGTCTTGTTCTCATGGTCCAAGACAGAGATACAAATATCGAGGTAAACATGTTTGTGTCTGTTCTCAGCTAGGAGGGCTCAGGAGTGGTAATCACAGTTATGAACATATTCATAATAGCAAACTTTAATGTTGAAGTAAATCTTTTTGGCAGTAAAGTTAAATAAGTATTGTTTGCAATCGGTAGATGAAGAGTTTTCGGTCAAAATTTTTACTGTAAGATAAGATTTCAACTGAATTTCACCTACGAAAAATTAAGGATAATGAAGTTATCTTTTGAATCGTTCCATAGAAAGTTTTTATTTTTAACTCAAATCACTATGATGACAGAATAGGAATTTATTGAGAAATTGGATGCGTCAAGACTTTTGCGATAAAACTTGTCCAAGAGCACAGTGAAATAAATGGTAAACAATGGGTCCACTTGTCAAATAAGGTTAAATTGACTACACAAAAAAAAGTAACATGATTTTTTTCAAGCAGCGTAATTTTCGGGGTTTTCATTTTAGCGATTTGAAAACTTTGAACAGAAAAAGTATTTTATAAAGCATTTTCACATTATCATAGTTTACGGCTCATTCGTAATTCATAAACAAATCAAGTTATTTTACCACGTAAAATTTGTCAGTAAATGCGAAATTCGCTAAAATTCAACCAGTTTCAAAAATTTGCTATCATAATTTAAAATTTTTTAATCAGATTTTTTAGAAAAGTTTTGGGCATGAATTTTTATAGCCAATTAGGGCCGTTTTCTCAAGTAACCTGTAACTTTAAAGCTCACATTATATTTAAAGGTTGCATTAAAATTTAGGATTGTGTCTAAAGTAAAGCATTTTATTATCGATTTTATATTGCTTTACAGCAAAGAAACATACATACGTGAAAAATCAATAATAGAAATGCTTAACTTTAGACATAGCTTTATTTTTAATACAACCTTTAAATATAAAGTGAGCTTTAAAGTTAAAGGTTACTTCAGAAAACGGCCCTAAGGGCCTTATTCTGTATCACGAACGGTAGGCAAAAGGAACGATTCGTCTGCAGACGGCAAGCTCTCAGATTGCGATTTTAAACTCTATCGGTCGTCTTCGTCTTGCTTTTCATATATTACGTGGCAATGGTCTCGGTTGCGTTTAAACCGGCTAAAATGATGCCGCCGGACTANTTATTCTGTATCACGAACGGTAGGCAAAAGGAACGATTCGTCTGCAGACGGCAAGCTCTCAGATTGCGATTTTAAACTCTATCGGTCGTCTTCGTCTTGCTTTTCATATATTACGTGGCAATGGTCTCGGTTGCGTTTAAACCGGCTAAAATGATGCCGCCGGACTAATTTTTGAAGCATTCCTCTGCAGACGAATCGTTCGTGTTGCCTATCGTTCGTGATACAGAATAAGGCTGTTAATTTCAGATAATAAGGTGCAAGTTAGAAATTGTGCATTTTCTTCGATATAAAAATACGAGTATTTTAGAACATAAGTATTTTGTGTGGATGAAAATGCAAGACGTCTCCAACCAAAAAAAAAATCAGAAAAATCGATATGCCATAGAAATATGAATGCCGTTTTTGAATTTTTCTGAAGTTGGTTTTTTGTGGAGCTTTGGTATTCGACGGATAAATATGTCACGAACATGACCTTAAGATAAATTTTCATAAATAAATAAATTCAAATGCCTAATTATGATTAGGTTCCGTGTTTTCTTTTATTACTTAGCAGAAAAACACACCAAGTTAGCACTATATACCAGTTTTTCTTAAAAAACGAGAGCTACAAATTTTTCCTTTCCACAACAAATTTACAACAAAAAATCTACAATTAATGCCGTTATAACATGTTCAATATCTCAATTCTATCGACTAGGTAGGTGTATGGTGTCATTTTTCTTAAAAAACGAAAGCTACAAATTTTTTCTTTCCACAAGAAATTTACAACAAAAAAGCTACAATTAATGCCGTTATAACCTTTTCAATATCTCAATTCTGTCGTCAATGGTGCATGGTGCCAAGTTAGCACTACATACTAAATTTTGCTCGAAAAAGGGTCAACTCAATTTTTTCCAGAAAAACGACAGCTACAATTTTTTCTTTTCACAACAGATTTTAAAGTTAAAAGCTACAATTAATGGCATAATAACATTTTGGATATCTCAATTCTATCGACTAGGTGTATGATGTCAAGTTAGCACTACATACCATTTTTTCTTAAAAAACGAAAGCTACAAATTTTTTCTTTTCTCAACAAATTTTAAAGTTAAAAGCTATAATTAATGCCGTTATAACATGTTCAATATCTCAATTCTATCGACTAGGTGTATGGTGTCAAGTTAGCACTACATACCATTTTTCTTAAACAACGAGA